GCTGACGCCTGGAAGGCATGATTTCTTTTCTGAAAATAAATATAAAAAAGATTAAAAAAAACCTTAACCTCTCCCTGTCTAGCTTGTGTTACTCTGAACAATGCCTGAAACTTTGTATTGCAAGCACTTCCTACATTTATTTGCGTCTTTATGATGAATCGCTTATTGCATTCCTCAATTGTAAGTCGCTTTGGATAAAAGCGTCTGCTAAATGGATAAATGTAAATGTAAAGATTAACAATCAGTTTGAATCTGATTTAACATTAATTTGGATTAAACACTTTCATTAAAAAAACAATAGCCATTATAGAGCAAGCATATACATCTTGAGATATATCTAGGATCGTCAAAAGTTTGAAAAGAAAGCAGATATTTGGGGATTATAGTTTTCAATGGTCACTTCATCTTTAGATAAGCCACTTCCCATAATGCCCATATACAGTTCCTGATGTGATCTTGAGTCTATCAAACATTTGTTCACCTTAAAATCTATGTGTAAGGCATCAAAGGTATAGAGTTTTAGACATTCTGAACCACAAACACATGAAGAGCTGAAGACATTCATTCACAACACATTCCTTTAGCATGACTTTATTTTGCAGTGATGCAGAATGACAGACTAAATAAGCACATGCACAGTTTATCTAGTTTCACAAAGGCAGACTTCTGACTGTCAGCATGATGTCCACTTTGGAGCTTTTCACACTGTGCTTAACCCTGGGTTATTGTTGTTTTAAACACCCCTTTTAACCCCGGGTGAAGGAATGCTTCAGACATGTAATTTAGAAGCGAGGTTAGCACAGCTTTTAATGTAGGGTTATGAAACCCTTCTCTGTAACAGGGTTAGCACAGCTTAGTGGTGTTAACCCCGCACTGCAGTGCCAACCTTGTGCAGTGTGAAACGGAGCGGTGTTAGAGTTTTATAGCTAGATGCTTAGCAACAGACGTCCAATCATGTGCCTCAAATCAACATGCTTTGGACAGATACAGAAACACCGCACACAGTATAAACAGTCTTTTCAGTGTTTGAGGAGAAAATGACAAATGGTGACGGAAAACACGCGACTTGAAGTGAAGAAGACACCAATTCATTCTTACCTTTATAGTCCAAAACATCCATTCTGGAGAACATGATTCTATAATATATGTGGATGCACAATGCTGGAGGTGTTGTGTAAACTCATCGCGTGCTGCGTTCATCCAATCAGTGACACTGACAGCACAAATATGCAAATAAGGGCTTTAACCCAGAATGTGCAGTGTGAAACGGCAGTTTATGAATAACCAGGATTAACTTCTAACCCAGTGTAAAACATGAAGTAAGAAAACCCAGATTAGGTTAAAAATAGCTCTACTTTTAAAACATCTCAAAACCCCTGTTGAATTCAGTTGTCTTTAGTCATTTAGCAGATGCTGTGAATCAAACAGAATTACAAATAGAACATCACAAGCATACAGGGATCAGCAATATTCTCAGTATTTCATTGCCAAATTAAAAGAATAGTTAGAGTGGTACAGAAGCAGTACAAATCAGAAGTTGTTTGTTTGTTTGTTTATAAGAAGTGGGTGAAGTCAAACTTTAGGTCGTCATGTTTTGTTGTTAAGTGAAGGTTTTGAACACATTAAAAGCACCAGCAGCAGCAGCACATCTCTCTGCTCTTCCTGCAGATTTCCATAATTGTCTTAATAAGTGTGCAGCACCATTTTCATCACGGACGGCTCGACTGCGGTTCAGCGCTCATCATGCTTTTACTGCATTGTCAAGTTTGTAAATAGTTAGAATAAGGATCCTGTCTCAAGATGCTCTGCATCATTCTGTCTGATTGTTTGGTCACATGATCACATGTGTCACGTCTCAATACTCAGAACCATAGAAATCACAATCTGTCACCTTTGGCTTGCTTAGTTGGGTCTAAAAGAATATAGTATTCTGGACTTAATATTCATTGATTATCGATTATCAACTGCAGTGACTATCTGATGTGAATAAAACTTGAATAAAACTTGAACTGAGTGTGGCAGGATAAGTCATTTCATCCGATTGGTTGGTTGGGGTATGATTGGCAGACCAATGAGGTGGTAGCAGCCGTCCTATTTTAGGGCCCTTATTTTGACGGGGGGGTATGTTCCTGCTGACTTGGGGTTCTTTCTCTCCCTGGCATTTCCGTTTCCGTTCCCATTCCTATCCAGTTTAATTTAGAGTGGGGCTGGTGTTGTTGGCGTGCGGCTGAGCATCTTCTGTAGAGCTTCTTTATAGCTGAATTGCATTTGTTTCATAATTGACGGACTTTACAGTTATTGAACTGAATCAACACTGAACTGACTTGAGCTGCTTTAAAGCTGAATTAGGATTTGTTATTATTGTGAAGTTGATTTAAAACGGTCTGTATTGTGCTGTACAAATAAAGGTGTCCCAACAATGACAGAAAATAAATCCGTGTGTGTGTAGCACTATTTGATAATGTGTGTCAATTATCACCCTGCAGTAATCACTCTGTTAAGGAGGATGAAAAGCAGAAGACTGAATGAGACCGCAGCGTTTCACAGCAAGCTCTGGGCGAGCGCTGTTTGTTTAGCCCGAGGCGAGAGAGCGAGAGACGCTGTGAGTGGGAAGAGCAGATGCTCAGCATGCTGGAGCAATTCTCTATCGCCGGCACCTGCCCACAGAGAAGAGCTGAGAAACGGCAGAAACAGACCAGGGCAAATGCCTTCCAGCCTTTCCATGCAGGGATTTTTAAGGCTTACTGAAGCTGACCTGCAGTCTGATCTTCTGCTTATTTTGGCAGATTCCTTGACTTACTGCGACATGGAGTGAATGAGACTTTATTGTGTTTGTGGAGCTGTCAGAGGAGCGAAACACACCTCAGATAGCAGCAGGTGTGTGTGTGATGTCAGGAGATACAGGTGACACAGCAGAGCCAAACAGAGAGTGCTTTACTGAGTAAACCAACAAAGCAATGCTTGTAAGCACCACAGTCAGAGTTTCAGCAAGTCTCTGAATGCTCGCATCTGAAGGCATTTTAAATACAGCTGCAAGCCACAATTACAGGGCCAAACACACCAACCTTGTAACATTTGTTTGAATATAGCATTCCAGACATGATTTCATTAGATTTTCTTTCAAATAAAACCAGAATTACTTGCAGATGAATACAGATTGCATTTGACTTTTGATAAATTGGTGACTTTGTCACAAACTGATCAGGGGACAGTTACATATATTGCACATGTAAAGTTTTGTGTCATTGTGTGTTAAACCGTTAGATGGGGATAATATAAAAAAAAACTGCGTCAACTGCTTAAACCTGAGTCAAATCAGTGATGATCCAAATTCATTTAGCTTATAACATCTTTAGATTCCTAACCAGCTAAAAAGCTTAGTCATTTGAAAACCTTTGTGTCAATTCTAAAGTTTATTTACATGCATGTAAAACACAACCAAAACAATGTTCTTCCACAAGACTCATGCAGTTTTATTTTTTATCTGCTACATAGTTTACCTTAAACACAATTACCTGAAAATATTCTTTAAAAAAAAGGCTCTAATTTGAAACATTTTGAAAATTTTGACATTTTTCTTTGTAAAGCAGTGTGCATGTAAAACAGCTTCACCAGCTCCTGTTCACACAACCGTGCTGCTCCACCAGCTAGACCAGCGTAAGAATTCATACTGGTTCATTGAATTTCCCGCAGATATGTGTCACTGCAGTGATGACTGTGATCTTTCACATGAGACTCCTTGAGAATCAGCAGAAGGATGCTGAGCTGCTCCTAATTGATATTCCTAACAGCAGACCCTCTGGCCTTTCCACTCACAGCCTGTGTGTGTGTGTGTGTGTGTGAGAGAGAGAGAGTGTGTGTGTGTGTGTGTGCGTTTGTGTGTGTGTGTGTGTGAGAGAGAGAGAGTGTGTGTGTGTGTGTGTGCGTTTGTGTGTGTGTGTGTGTGAGAGAGAGAGAGTGTGTGTGTGTGTGTGTGCGTTTGTGTGTGTGTGTGTGTGAGAGAGAGAGAGTGTGTGTGTGTGTGTGTGCGTTTGTGTGTGTGTGTGTGTGAGAGAGAGAGAGTGTGTGTGTGTGTGTGTGAGTGTGTGTGTGTGTGTGTCATCGTGTTCCTCTCAGATCTAACAACAGCCTGTATATGTTGTGTGTTGCTTGTGAATGTGATGTATATTGAGCTGAAGGACAGCGAGGACGCTCTGACTTTCTGTACTGTTTGGTAGTTGCATTCTTATTCCAGTATTCAGCAGCAAATACATTTTAAACGTATTTCACTTGAGTTCACTAATACTATATTTCTACAAATTAATTAAGCTCTATTCATATACATTATGTAGCTAAAACTTGAATTAAGCAAAACCATTAAAATTATAGAGATAAAATTAACCTTATGTCTTATCTAATAGCTTGCAATAGCATGCCAAGGTAACTAACGGAAATTACTGCCCTGTGGTGTGTTTCCCAAAAGCATCGTTAGACAACTATAGTCACAAGTTTCGTCGTTATCAACATATTTTAACGATTCAGTGTTTCCTGAATCCATAGTCCCAATGAACATTCACAAACAGGATCGCAAAGGTGTGTGTTTGAAACTACAGCTCTCGACCTGCTCACTGTGACATGATATCTGAAACCGTTTGGCTTGTTGAAGGTGAGATATCACTACTGTTTAACCCTGGCAATCGTATAGCAGCATAAAAATGATTTTTAGCAACAGCCTGCTATCCACTCCCAACAGCATAGCTTCGCAGTGCTGATTTCCTTGTTTTATCTCTGTCTTTCTCTGACAGGTGTCAGTAACTCCTCATGAAGAGCCGTGAGCAAATCGTCCTTCAGAATGACCTCATTATAATCACAGCTCAAGGATTTTGCGTTCTGAGCATCAGACACTTTGGAAAAAACACAAATTGCAAGGGTTTGACGTTTCATTCTCTGCGTTTTCTGTGATATTTCAGAACTTTTGAGTTTTTGTTTTGTTTCTCAAATCCACCGTGGTGATTCGTTACATGGTCCAGATGAGTTTTCTCATATGCAGCGCTGTCTGGCTCCTCACTGTTAATCTCTGGGGACCGAGATCTGCTGACGGGGCCCCTGACCGACCCCACCATGACCCCAAACATTCATGGGACGCCCTACAAAGACAGAAACGAAACTGGGTTTGGAATCAGTTCTTTGTGCTTGAGGAATACACAGGGACTGATCCTCTGTATGTCGGCAAGGTAAGATTTCTACTTTCATTTCTCACATGAAAGAGTTGCTGTGTTTTTTTTATTTTTTTTTTATGATCATCCCAAAAGTTTAGTGTTTGGAATCATGAATAAATGCATTCAAGTCCTATCCATCATCTACAGGTAAATGTTTGGATCTTTCTGGTGATGAACTACACAGCATTTGCTGTGTAATGTGCCGCTTCAAAGTGAAACATACTGTAATACACATGGAAGTCAACCAGTGGCTCAGAAAACACTTCATTAGAAAAGACGGGGAAACGTCTCTTTCACATTTTCAACAGATATCATTTAAATGTTGATGGGATTTTTTTTCTCAAATTATAAATAGGATTTCTGTTGTTTGCTGGGTCATCATTACTGGGGAACAACCTGTTATCCCCGTTATGAGGAGGTTCTCTATGCCAGTGGTTCTCATCTCCAGTCCTCGGCACATTTTGGCTGCGTCCACTTACTTATCGAGTGCTAAAAGAGTAGGTACTCTACAGCCAAATCTGGTTGAGTATGAATGCGGTCCGGACATCATCCGCCATGTTGACGTTATCATGTGATCTATGACGTTATAACAAGCACAACAACTTAAAAGATATGAGCGTCAGGTTTAATTAATCTATCTGTAAATAGTTTGATGTTGATGAAATTTGCTTATTTTGTGGTCTTGTTGAAGAAACAGCTGCCCTTTTATTGTGATTGTAGTATAAGCAATACATTTTGTGTTGATTTAAGTTTTTATATTTTTAACTGACCCAGAGTTTAATCTTTAAAGATATTATTTTTATCATGAAAACCCAAAATCGTTATCTCGTGAATATGTTATGCAATACATTTTGTGTTGATTTAAGTTTTTATATTTTTAACTGACCCAGAGTTTAATCTTTAAAGATATTATTTTTATCATGAAAACCCAAAATCGTTATCTCGTGAATATGTTATTCATTTCTTTATTTTATGTGTAAAATTGCTCATCTACACGCAAAACTGGCTTAATTCTCCTATGTTTTCTTATTTTTCTTGTTGAATTTCTCTCGTTTCATCCCTGAGGCTTATAAATAACAAAAACAATTGTATTTTTTAATGCATTATGGTTATATGAATATTATGATTATTCAAAGATAATTAATCATTTTTTTCTCCTGTGTATATAATCTCATACTATGATGTACGCAAAGTTCTGCAGTAATAAAAAGAACATAAGAGCGACAGGTGCACAAACACCTCCATAGCATCAGTAACATGTTACAGGAAAACCCTACCTAGTACTTTTCCTCTTTGTTTGTAATATCTGCACAAAGGAGACGTCGATCAGCTGCTCAAAGATCTCGCCTTTGGAGAAGACTGTTCATTTTATACTCGAAAAATGTAAGTATTACTACCTAGAAATTAAGATTACCTCAGAATGCATTGCTAGCCCACCCCAACACTTATGAACAATAATAATGATAAATGCTGGCCAATAATTCATTATATTTTTTAGTAAAACAAACAAATTGTAATTTGTTTTTTCATATGCCATAACAGCATGACTACACACTAGACAAATGCATCCAAGGTGAATACATCTCAATTTTCAGTCAAGTAATGAATTAATGCATATGTTAATGAAACAATTAGGGGTAACACTTTATAATAACTTTCATTAATAAATCATTAACAAACATTATATAATGTGTAACAATCATTACTTCATATATATTCACAAATCTAGACATATGAGATAATGTGCTTGTTAATTCAATCCAAGTTTTCAATTCAAGTTTATTTGTATAGCGCTTTTCATGATACAAATCATTGCAAAGCAAAATTCTCTATTGATTATAGAAATTGCTAAATTTTCAAGAAAATACTTAATTTATCATTTATCAAAACAATGCAATATAAACAGATTGAATCGTGTTCCCTCATAGTAATCAAATTGGCTTCTGTACACCGTTGACCACTTACCCAACCCTTAAACCAACCCATACCACCAAACCTGAGCCTAACCTTACCCGTATCACATCTCAATAGCAGCAAGTGTTGTGCATTAACAAAAGCTTTTAATCATTGTATATTGTTTTCAAGATGTGCATGATCATATGAATTAGAAGTTTAATGACATTTGTAAGCATTTTAATTTACATGAAATGTTAATTATTAGGTAATGCTTAATACATTTATTAGTAAACATTAACAAGCACATCATTTCACCTCTCTAGATATGTGAATATATATTAACTAATGATCCGTTAAACATTACATAATGTTTGCTAATGATTTATTAATGAAAGTTATTATAAAGTGTTGCCCAATTAGGCTATATTTTATTTACTGACAACAACAGGAAACATGAATAAATGAGTAAAATAATAAATAAAAGTAACCATGACAATAAATAAATACAAGTCATCGACACATGAAACAAAGCTTTATTCAAACATTGTTCTGACAATCATGTATTTACAGACGGTGAGCCCACATCTACTGCATCTCAACACAGCTGAGACAGTTCTGCAGCTGACCACCGTGTCCACCTTCAGCTGTCTCTGCCGTCCATCACGACCCTCACTGCTGCAGTCAGACTGAATCTGATCATGGATGGGAAAGGGACATCGAGGCTATCATTGCCTGAGTGCACAGAGAGGATGAGGAAGACCACGATGACGCTCCTGAACCACACAATCTTGAACAACAGCAGGAGAACACATGCGGGACAATCTGGCTATCGCTGTGTCTGCTCCAAACATCTCTGTGATGCTCTCCATGAATACCACTACATTTAAAACATTTACACAGAGTACAACGCTTTACATCTCATGTTTTTAGCATTCCATTTCTTGCCAAATTTAATTTTATATGTTTACAGTTGCATGCTAATTTTTGATACAGCTTCATTACTTTTGTGGTGTAGTGATCAGGAAAGCAGAAGCTTGCTGGATCGATCTCCACAGTCGTCACCACTGGTTGTGTCCTAGAGCAAGCCTCTTTACTCCAGGTTGTTTCAGAGGGATTGGGGTCCCTGTAATAAGAGCACTGTGAGTCACTTCAGATAAAAGTCTCTGCCAAATGAATAAATGTAAATGCGATTTTTGTAAATGTTTTTTTTATGTCTTGGGCACAAACTCTTAATAAAGCTGCTTATTTCTTAAAGTTTATTTCTTCAAGGTACTACTATAATATAAATGCTTATATTTCATACGATTTCTATTTGGGGCTTTAAAGGGTTAGTTCATCTAAACATAAGTTCAGTCATTATTTACTTGACTCCATGCTGTGTGTTTTTGTTTTGTATTTTTCTGAACACAATAGGTGAGTTTGGTCAAGTTTGTCCTGCTGGTTTGTGTTCATACAATATCAGTCAATAGAACCTGACTTTCAGAAGCTTCAGGACTTTATTTGATGATACTTTTGAAGCTTCTGAAACTCGGGTTTCATTGACTGATATTGTATGAACAGAAACCAGCAGAACAAACTTGACCAAACTCACATCCTCAGTGTCTTTTGGTGTTTCTCTAGATGACCAGTCTGCAGACATTTCAGATCCTGCAAAGATGCACAAACACAATACACAAGCAGTCATTTTAACAGAATGATGTCATTTGATTTCTGTATTAGAAGTAACAAAATTATCTCAATTTATATTTTTGTTTCAGGTTTTCCCTTTTTTTCCACAAATGCCGCCGTCACCTTTCCTTGCAGGTCCTGCTCCACCACAAAGGATAAACACACGTGTGTCTCATCTGTCCCTGTAACATCCAGACAAGGATGGATCTTATCTCACCTCCAGTCACCCTATCTCATTATCTGCTCAATGCTGCATTTACATGTTGAGGTAGCTGCTGATGTGTTAACTCACTTTTTATCCAACACAAATGTTCCTCAATTTATCAACAATACTAATGGACAAATGAAATAGATAACTTATGTTTAGTTACTCTATGTAGATTTGTTTATTTACATTACTTACATTCATCTAATGTAAGCAGTGTTGACAGTGAATTCTACATAATAGCACACATACATCACTCACTCAGATGTCTGTTCATGTTGTGATGTGCTCATATGCAATTCCTTTAGAATATTTTCCTGTCTCATATTAAATAGACATTTAATAATCTTTAAGATGTACTGTATAAGGTTTATGTAAATGCACTTTGAAGACGTATGTGTGCTTACTGGAGCTCCCCTGTTCGCTATACATAATAAAAGTGTTTTCACAGAAAAAAAAAATCACAAATATACTGTAACGTTACTGTCAAGCATCTTACACCTTAAGCAAATCAACAGTTTACTATATAGTAGCTCAACAAATATGATTTTAACACAGGGAACCATGTTTTTAATTTATAATACTCACATTTGTAAACACCCTCGTCGCTGTTCTCCATCACGTTCAATGATGACGTATCCTCTCCCGTGGGCTTCTGGGATAGAAAAGTGTCCATCGATGAACACTTCAGAATCTGGGCTGAAGCAGTAAGACATCCGGGGTTTTCTCGCCTACTCTTTTATGAATACTGCGGTTTCGATCATTCTTCTTTCTTCACGTACTCTTTTTCACTACTATATAGTAGGTAAGTAGGTATATTAGAACGCAAATGAAGTATGCGTACATCCGAATCTCGTGAGAATTAGTGCAATTTTTGTCTACTCTTTTATGAATACTGAGGATTCAAACATACTTATTCGCTCGCCTACTGCTTTTTGCATACTATATAATAGGGAAGTATGCCATTTCGGACGCAGCCTTTGTGTGTTTCTGACACACTCGGTTCAGTTCATGGAGCTCTCTCCTAATGAGCTGATGATCTGAAACAGGTGTGTTTGATTAGGGAGACAGGTGTAATGTGCAGTGCTGGAACTGTTCTCCAGGAACGTGGCTGGGAACCCCTGATCTAGTGTTCAGCCCGCTCACTGCAGAGGTGTGGAGTAATTGCACCTCTGGGAGATGATTTAGGAACTGCTTCTTGTGCCACAGAATCCCCTTCTCAACCGTCCACCACTGTCTGCCTCTT